CTGTGGTGGGCACAGTGCCCCAGCCTGGCAGTAAAGCACCAGGCTGCAGGGGCTAATGCTCTCCATGTATCAATCACGCTGCTCCGTGGCTCCCTATTAGCAGGAGCAGTGGCTGGTTAATCAGGCTGAGGGCTTCGGCTCGTTAAGCTGACACCATCGTTGTGAGAGTGAGACATGGGGGCACGCAAGGTGCCACTTATTTATTTTCTTCTTTCCCAGGGAATATATTAAACAAATTAAATTCCTGGAGTGTTGGGTCAGCACGGCCAGCTCTGCGCCTGCCCCAGCTCCACATAGCTCAGCTGTGGGGAGGGCACTGTGCTCCCCAGCCTGCAGCAAGCCCCTGGCACTGCTGCAGGGCCCTGGCTGTCCCCCGTGCCTCCACAGCACCCCTGTTTCCTTCCCTAGGCTGTACTGTGAGTGCGGCCACTCGGCAGCGCTGTGATCAGGAGGGCAGGAGACCTTGCAGGAAATGCAGACCATGATTTTGCACGGAAAGGTAACCTGGGAACCTGCCTGCTGCTCCCGAATGGGTTTCCTTGGCCCTGCAGGAGGGGAGCTGTGGTGTGCTTCAGTGCTTTTAGGGCATTTTGTAGTGCTGCCTGCCACAGAGAGAGCCAGGGGCTGGTTTCAGACGTAGCACCAAGCTTTTTTCTTTGCACTATGGTATTAGGATGTCTGGGGTGGTGGCGGGTTGGCACTGCAAGGTCCCTCTAGCAAGCAGGAGTGCTAGGAGGGAGTGACCTTATTCTCTGTGAAAACCGAGTCTCTATCACAGGACTCCAGGATCTGGGGATTTAGGAAAAAACTGTATCCCAAGAACAGCTTTCAAACCACAAGCATTGACATCACTGGCATTGGCCCCAAATCACGTAGAGCCAGGAGAACAAGAGTCTTTGCTGAAGCACTCCCCTGCGCTGAACTCTTCGCCTGCTGCAGCATCAGTCACCCCTTCAAAGCCAAGTGCTGTCCCTGCTCAAACCCCTTGAGGGCTGGGATGCCTTTCCTTGCTGCCAGGCTGCTCTGCTCAACCCCAGTACCAGGTGGGTTTCAGCCCTGCTCCCTGACTGGTTAAGTGACAGACACAGATGGAAAACTTGCTGCGAATCAGTCATTAGTCCCTGGAGTTGTTTATTGACCATTTGCAACTCCACCCTTCATCATCACCTTTTTCCTTCCCCATTCTTCAGCAAAGTCAGTGGCAGCCTGTTCTGCTCCACTGTCCCACCCCATCCCATCATCCCCATCCCTTCAGAGTCTGGTCCCTTCCACTCAGTCCTTCAAGTGCCTCTTCATTTCAGGAAGGGACCCACCTTTAGCTGGTGGAAGGGTGACTCCCTGGAGGTTAGTGAGGAATTAGAGATAATTTAATTTACCTCCCTGTTCGGGCACTTTGATGAGCTGAAAGGCCTCTTGTCAGGCAGCGAATCCATCTTCCTCCAGCCTTACATCAAATTTCATTCACTAATTAGAAACTCCTGCCCCAGAGCGTGCTGCCTCCACCCCGGCCGCCCCTTCTCCTCACCAGCACCATTATGAAAATAAATCGTTCCATTAGCTGCATTGTTGTGGCTGTGGGGCCCAGGCCAGGAGTTATTAGAGCAGGAAGGAGGGCGTTGGATTGAGACAAATGATTTATTGAGGAAAAGGACCCTGATTAGATTCTTACTCGTCCCCTGCACATGATCACATACTCACACACCCCCATCCCGACATCATGGGCACCTCAGAGCCACCGGTGGAAGTCAGGTCCAGATGCTGCTGGGTTTCCCTTGTGGTCATATCCTGCTGGCTGTTCCCGTGGTGGTGGGAGACCCTGTCTTGTACTGGGACAATGTACGAGGTAATGGCTGCTGCCTGCTGCCAGACCACCCTGCATGGTCCCCAGCCACCTCTCCCTCGTACAGAGCGTGGGGGAGCACCAGCATCACCCCTGCTCTACCTATCCTGAAGCTAGGGAGGGGATATGGGAAGGGAAAAGTAGGCTGCAGCGTATTAGCTCTATACCCCACACCGTGGGAGAGGGAGCTAGACACTGCTGGAGTGGGACGGTTTGCAGGGCTCACCCTGGGTGAGGGGAAATGGTGTCAGCCCCCTCTGTGGGTCCAGAGTGCTGTCTGCCCTGGAGACATGGGGCAAAAATGGCTGCAGAGGTGGGCACTGCCCTCGGTGCCGTGTCCCATGGTCCTCACAGTGCCCATGCTGCCACCATGGGCCATGCACATAAACCCAGCCTCTGGCGGGAAGACACAGAGATCAGGGACACAGGGACACCTGGGTGCTCTAGAGGCTGCCCGGGATATAACATCCCGGATGGAAAGAGTAGTTGCGGGATTGGATGGCAATGCTGAGAGCTGGGGGATATTCAAGCATGCCCGATGAGGTGACGGGCATGTGTCTGTCGAGGGAATAAAGTTATGTGTAAGGATGCCTGTCTGCCCGCATCTGTACGGGCAGAGGGCTGTGATGTGAGTCCCTGAGGCTCCTGCTTGCTGAAGCCCCTCCAGCCCCCCCAGGCGAAGCTGCCAAGGGCAGGCAGGGGGGCTCTTGCAAGTGGAGGGAGCCGTCCCCACACTGGTGCCGTGGCTGAGAGAGGGGCAGGACGTGGGGGTTCGGGCCAGAGGGAGGTGGTGGAAGCATTTGGGGCACAGGATGGGCTCCACAGTCAATACCATGCACCACGCACTCTCCCGGGGCTGCCGTGGGCTCCTGCCCCCGGAGCACCAGCACTCCGAAAAGCCATTAAGCTAAATTAAGCTAATGAGAGTGGGAAGCGGATACGGGCTCCCTCTGCGGGCACCCGCCGCCTGGCAGCGTGAGGGGCCGAGCCGGGCTATGCAGCTTCCTTCCTCTGGGCTTTTTTGGTGGGCAGCTATGGGACTGTCTGCCTTCTCCGGGAGGAAGATACCCACAACCTGCTGTTGCATGCAGGCCCAGATATTTGGGGGTGTACCTCCATCACCGTCACGCCCCAGGCCATGGGGATCTGGTTAGACCCAGAGAGTCCGGGTGATGGGCACAAACCTCCTCCTTGGCCGGGGATATTCCCCGCACCGCGGGGAACGTTTAGCCTTGCAGTCCCGCAGGATGCCCTCCCTGACGTTTCTTCCTACCCGCGCTGCGCTGAGGTGCAGTTCCCCATGAAGAGGAGATGCTTTCGGGGTGCTCCGCTCCCCGAGCCACCCCCCCCCCCCCCCCGCATTGCCAGCGGGGCTGTTGGGCCCTGCTACGGCAGAAGGCCACGGTGCGAGGGACAGACGGGAGAGGCGGGGACGGGAACAAGTATCTCCCCTTGTTAACAGCGCCAGACCCTGTAGCCTTTTCAAGGCTCTGAATAGGGGGTGGTACTTCTCCGCCCCTGAATTTGGGGCAGGGGGTGTGCTGGTGCTGGCTTAACAAGCTTAGACAGGGCTGGAGGCATGGCGGGGAGGACATGCTACCCCAGATGGGAGCATGTGGGGGGTTTCTCCTGCACCACATGCCCTTCCTCTCCCTCCCGCCCACCATTGACATGGTAATGAGGACAAATTGATGGAGAGACATCCATTGTGGTACCCTCCAGCCCGGCCCGTCTGCCGGCCACCCACCAGCATCCCCATCCATCATCACCCAGCCGGAACTCCGGTGGGACCCCTCTACTCGGGACTGGCACCCTGGGAGATGGGGCTGCTTCAGGTGCCCACGAGCAGAGGGGCAACCCCTAGGTTGCCTTGGTTCTCCTGGGGCTGAGTGACAAGAAAGAGGGGGACATCCAGGGAAGAAAGACCCCCTTCATTAAGTCCTGTCAGCTGTACATGATTTTGTCCTCACTATTACTACCATGGGGATTTATACATCTAGGAGGGGAGTTACTATGGCTTCAGAAAGACCCAAAAATCTTCCTTATGGGTGTTACCCTTCCTCTTGCTGCTCTAGGAACAGTCAGGGAACAGAGCCAGGACCCCTGGCTTTCCCTGCTTCCACCCAAAAGCAGTCCCCCAATACCCTGCAGCACCCTCCTAATGGGGCAACAAGTTGTACCACATACTCACTAATACCCTAAAAACCTGGTCCTGGAGATGGGCTGCCCACAGCACCACAGGGTACCTCAAAGGGCACATTCACTCCCTGTGCATCCCCTGCCTGCAGCTCCCCATGCCTGCGATGGCAGCCTGATTGAAATTTCACTCCATAAAGCGCCTCTCAAAAGCCTGACCTCATGCCCCCCCCGGGGACCAATTTGTCCTTCTCTGTAATAAGAACCTAATTAAATTAGCTCAGTCACCTCGCAGAGCCCTTAAATTAGTTGTGGTGATGAGGGCCCTTGCTGACAGCCTGCTGCTGAATTGCTCCACACTTACCATGACATGGGGTCCAGGGAAAGCCCTGGAGGGACTGTGGTCCCAAGGGAGAAAGACCAGGGCAGGGCAGCTTGGAGATGCGGCAAGGGTTGCACAGAGGGGTGTTTGGGTAGGGCAGGTATGTGAGGTGCTGGCTGGTGGTCTTCCCTTCTGCTGGGGTGGAGGGGGACAGGGCTGGCAAGGGGTAAGGGGACAGAGCCAGCAGTGATGAGCACTAGTGACATTGAAAACCCAGTGTACAGGGTAGGGGTCCACCTTCTCCAGAAGCACTGGGCTAGCAGGTGGTGTAGGGATGGAGATGGTGGGGAAGGCTGTCCCAGCGTGGCCAGGCACATGGGTGATGGGCCCAAACTGGGATGCAGAGGTGCCCCTGCCAGTCCCACAGTGGCTGTCCCTCCCACATCCTGCCCCACTTGCCTTAGTTTCCAGGTGGCTCCAGTGACAGCTTTGTCCCATGTAGGCCTCTGGCTGCCCATCTCACCTGGGTACAGGGGAGTTTGGAGGGAGAGCTCACCCTTGCTGTTGGAGACATTGAGCAGCCAAATCTTGCTCTTGGAAAAGCACAAGAGGCCCTCTAGCCCTGCCTGCCCTGCTTATGATGGGCAGTGAGCACTTCCCATCCCTGCCTCACTCCCCACACCAGAGCTCAGAGTGACTGTCTGGGAGATGACGGATTTATTTGGCCATGTCCCCGACCAGGAAAGTTACATCCAGTGAAGAGACAAAAAACACACCTGCAGTCGGCCGTGCTCGCACTCTCTTACTTTGCCCTGGACATCGATCACCATGAAAACTGTGCTTTAAAACAATTAAATAATTTCTGCTTTTTGTTAAAAAAAAAATAATCATCCCCCAACCAAACAGTTTCACCCACCCCCCCCACCCCCCCCCCGTCTCACCTGCACGTGCCCACGCTGCCTCCCATCCATGGCACGTACAAAGAGCAGGTCAATAAATAAAGACGCATGATGCTGCAGGGGGAACACGGGTCACAGCCCCCCCCAGACCTTCTTGCCTCTGCTAACATGGAGCCGGGGGGGGCTGAGACTCTGGACAGAAGTTTGAGGGGGGAAGCGTGGCTGCAGCTCTGACAGCATTCCCCCCAGGTCCCGGGAGCGGGTGAGCAGCAATGAGTTACCCTGAGGGTTTTGGGTGCTGGGGCGTCAGGGAGGATGGGCCAGGCAGGGTCTGGAGCTTGAGGAATGGTTTAGCTTTGGGGTGGGAAAGGCATGTCTGTGGGGTCAGCCAGCTCAGGGCAGGATGCACAGAGGCAAGGGAGGGAGCGCTTTTCCCCCATGATGCTTTCCTTCCCCACATATGGCTGCAGCTCCAGGTCTCCCTACCAGTGTGTGCCCATGCCTGGCTGACACCTGCACCTTCCTGCCCACACCCCTGCCTCTGCAGCCCCCTCTTGCCAGCTAGAGCCCCCCATGAGGTCACAGCATCCCCATGGGCATGCCTGGCCAGGTGGGTACAATACTGGCTTTGAGCAGAGCTTGGGTCCCACTACAGAGTCCCTTGCTCCAGCAGCATTTGTGTCACCAACTCTGGAGTTTCATGCCTGCCCTTCCAGCCCTGCCAATGCTTGGGCACCACAGGCATGTAAGCACTGGGTTTGGGTGCCCCCCTACACCCATAGTCAGGGCCTAAGGGCAAGGCACAGTTCCAGTACCTAGACCACCCTCTTCCCAGCTTCCATGTCCCAGGGTTGGGAATGGCATCGCCTGCCCTCCCACCCGTGCTGCCCAGCAAAGTGCCCTGAGGTCCTTCTCCCAAAGCCTCTCCACCTGGTGCAGGCAGGCTGGGAGCCCTGCTGGAGCAGTCTGAAGCCAAGGGCTGTCTCCTCTTCCCTCTCCCCCGGCCTACCAGACCTCTGTCGTTAGCTAATTCTGCACACGCACACGTACATCACGCACACACACAAATAGCAGCATGTGGATCCAGCCGGGGGTAACCCCATGGTCAGGGGGGAACCCTTTGTGCCTTCCCCCTGCACCAAGGAACAGGGGGTGAGGAGGGAGTGGTGGGCATGGAGGAGGCACACCAGGCAGCCCCAGTGCTCCCCAACTGGGAGGTGGCTGTGCCCCAAGCAGGCAGGGCTGGAGGCAGCTCTACATGGGCACCCAGGTTTGGGAGGGGGTGCTGGCCTCCGGTGAGCCGCCCTGCAGCCACCACCTCCACCAGCAGCACTGGCTGGGGTGCACCCTCAGCTCTCCATCTGGGGTACCCCCAGCGGGTGGAAGCTGTCGGGGGGCAGGAGCAGCCTTCCCAGGTGGTAGAGCAGCCCTGAGTACCAGTGCACGCCGTCCCCCTGTACCCCTGGCCACCCCACCACGCTGTGGTAGAGCCGAAGTGGCCAGAAGGCCAGCTGTGCCAGATGTTGCTCCTGCACCAGGGCGAAACAGGAGGCCACCACACCGTCCACCACCAGCGTCCCGTGCCGCGTCAGTGGGGCATAGGCCCCCACATCCCTGCGGTCCCGCACCGCCACTACCTCGGCGGGCTGCAAGCCACCGCCCTCCGCCACCACCAGCACAAAGTGTCCAGGGCGCACACGGCTGGCAAAGGTGGGGCGGAAGCGGGCGGTGGGCGCCGAGGAGTTCTGAGCCACAAAGAGCAGGTGGGTGGGTGTCAGCACCAGGCGTCGCGGTGGCTCCCGCGTCTCGATGACATGGAAGGAGGTGAGGGCACGGGGTTCCTTGTCCAGGAAAGCCAGGAAGTCGCTGTAGGTGGGCCTGCCTGCCTCGTCCATCGCCAACACCCGCTGGCCTGGGCGCAGGGCCCACAGCGGTGTCTGCACACCATCCTCCAGCATTGCCAGTGCCCGCCCAGGGAAGCAGCCACCCGTCTTCGCAGCGGCCGAGTGCTCTGCACAGGAAAAGACAGGACAGGAGGGTTACCTGTCTGACAGAACCCCAGCATCACCCCTCCATGACACACAGCGACCCTCTCAGGCTGCCTGGCTTTGCCCACCTGGGGATAACCCTTCCGTGGCATCACCAACAATCACGCGTCCCTTACACACCCCCAAGCCCCTAATCCAGGCTCTCTGAGTGTCTGTTCCCCCAGCCACTGTTTCACTGGGGGTGGCAATTGAGGGCTCAAGCCACACATGGCAGCATCTGCTTCACGCTATGGTGCCAGTGCACTGCCCGGCAGGCCCAGGTCCTGCAACCTGCTTGGCAAGGGGAGCAGGGCACAGCCATAGCCCCAGACGCACAAGGCAGTGTCAGGAGCACCCAAAGCTCAAAAGCAGGGAGGCAGAGCCCTGAGTTAATGTCAGGCTGAGGAGGAGAGTGCTCTGCATGCTCACATCATCCCCATCCCCTGTGGAGCTGGGCCTGGGTACTGCTGGGGAGGGTGCTACAATGAAGGGTGCGCAGGGTGCAGCACCCTTCCCCAGCACCGTGGCACCCATCCACCCCACTCTGTAGCCCTGCTCCGTTCTGCCTGCTCGCCCCTGCACCACACACACCAGCCACCTCTTTGAGCTGCAGGGAGACATCACAGCCTGCGGCCATCATCAGGAAAAAGCCACCAGCTTTCTGGGCAGGGGTTTGCTAGCAGCTGTAACAGGGTAGAGCACGCAAACTCTCTGGACTTGTCCCCTGGTATAGTGGCACAGCATTCCTACCCCTCCTCAGATGAAAAGATGCAGTAAGACACCAAGTATCACCAGGGTAACATCCTGGCACTTAACAGGGGAACCCTGGCTTCCCAAGGAATGGCACTCACCTCCCACAGCAGCTCTGCTCTCCCAAGCCGCAGCAACCCCTATCTCAGCATCTATATGATGTCCTCCCATCATCTGCTAGGGTCATCTCATCCAGGGTCCTGCTCCCGGCCCTGCACAGTCCCAGCTTCTAGCTCCCAGCCCCCCCCCCTCCCCCTTCAGGTCCCTCTCCCACCTCCCTCATCTAATCCCTGAGTGTCCCCACCCAGATGGCACTGCCCTCCATCACTCCCCAGCTCTGCACAGAGCCAAATCCCAGCCCCCAGGCCCATGAAGAGAGGCATCCATCTCTGGGACAGAATCCTTTTATTGCTCAGATGAGGTGCAGGGTCTGCCCCGTGCCTGCCCTGGAGGCCAGGTCCCAAATCCTGCACCCTGCATCCCCGGGCAGGCAGCAGAGCTGTGGGGAGGGGCTGGCAGGAGGGCAAGAGCGGCACCTGGCAGAAGCGGGGTGCACAGGTGCTGGGCATGGAGGGGTGCAGGAGGGGACCCGAGGAGACACAATACATATAACAGGCCATGCAGCCATCCGTACAAAAATAAAAGCCATTTACTAAGAGGCAGGGGCAGCCCAGCTGTCCCCTGTACACAGCTCCGGGGGGTGGTCGTGATATGCACCGCACAGCCTCCAACACACACTCCTGGGCTCCCCATGGCCTCAGGGATAAATATGGTAGATGCAGAGCCCCAAAAAGTCACTGTGCAGTGAGGGGGCTGTGGACAGCCTTCAGAAGCCCTCCAGGGCCTCAGGGCCCCAGTCTGCTGCCTGGGTCACAGCATCCCTCTTCGGTTGGTCCCAGCATTCAAGAACCTGCGTCCTTCTTCAGGGACACAGCCCCACTCCTCTAGCCAGCCCCAAGGCTCTGGGGTCATGGTCCTTGCTTCAAAGCCTGGCCCCTCTCCTCCGGCCAGCCCCACAGGGTGCCCTGGGGCACAGAAGCCCTGGTCCTTCTCTCGCGTTTCGTCCCTCTTCTTCGGGGGCGCGTCGTTCCCTCTCTGCGGCGTGATCGCCCCACCTCCATCGCCGGCCAGCCTTGCGCCTGTCCTGGCACCGGCACGGGGGAGCGGGTCAGCGCGGAGGGCCCGGCTGGCGTCTGGGGGACTCCGGCCGCTGGCCACGGGCTAGGGCAGCAGGACAGGCACAGTAGTGCGGTGGGAACCGAGCCCGGCAGCAAGAGACGCGGGGCGACACCGGCGCAGCAGCTCCGGTACCACCGCGGCACACGGGTACGCGGGCACAGCTGTGGGCATGTGTGTGCAGACACAGCCCTCTGCCTGTGCAAGCTCTCCGTGTGCCCAGCCTGTCGCGACACGGGCACGCCCGTGTCGGGACAGCCGCTCAGCCCCCTCCTGGCCGCGGGGGAGCGCGGCTCGGCTCTGCGCGGCGGGCCCGGTGATGGGCCACTGCTGCCCTCTGCCGCCAGCGCAGCCGCTCCGCCGGGACCTGCAGCATCCCGGACAGGGGCAGCAGCCTACCCCCAGGCTAGGGGGTGCCGTGCACCCCACGCAATTCATTTCTGGCCACGGGCAGGGCCGGCGAGCAGCATCCCCGTTCACGGCGTAGAACAAACAGCATCAGCACCCTCACTCCAGTCCAGCTGCCTCTGCCCTCAGCACTCCCAGCTCTGCCCCCTTCCTCTGCACAGCAGAGCAGCTGTTCCCAGAGTACCCTGGTCAGTCCCTGCCTGGGTGTCCCTGTCCCCGGCCCTGGCCAGTCAGGGCTGGATGAATGCTGCTGTGACAGCAGAAGCCCAAGAGATGCCAGCGGTGGAGGAGGGCAAGGCTGAATGGAGCTGAGCATGGGCAGGTGGCACTAAGGGACTGCAAGGGCAAAGGCAGGGGAGACAGATGTGAGGGGGGACAGGCTGTGGGAGAAGGGGATATGGGGTGGAAAATGGAGAGGAGGTAGACAGGGTGAGTCAGGGTGCAGGTACATGGGAGTGAGACAGAGAGTTTCTCCCATGGCACTGCTGGCCAAAGACGTGTGACTCACTCCCCAGTCGACTGTCTGCCCCAGATAGGGAAATCATGCTGCGAGAGCCAGTGGCCCCCAGAAGCATCCCACACAGCCAGCCGCAGCAGTGGGACTGGCCCCTGGCCCTGCTCACTGCCCCCCCCCCCCCCCCCCCCGGGCCTTACCTGACTTGACGGAGCAGTGGATGTGTGCCTTGGACTCGTAGTAGACCCAGTCAAAGCCAGCCTCCACGGCCAGGCGAGCCAGCATGCCATACTTGTTACGATCCCGGTCTGAGGTCGTGATGTCGACGGCTCGGCCCTCGTAATGCAGTGACTCCTCTGAGTGGTGCCCATCCTCATCCCAGCCCTCTGTCACCCGCAGCTTCACCCCTGGCCACTGGTTCATGACAGAGATGGCCAGGGAGTTCAAGCGGTCCTTGCAGCGCTGCAGGGCAAAGGGGCAGAGTAAGTAAAAGCTTTTGGGAGTGCAGGGGTTAGCTACATGGTTGGCAGGTTGCATCCCACCATGCTTCCAAGAAGCCTCTCTGGGTGCTCAGGCCCTTTCAGGGGCTGGTCTAGCAGAGGAAGATCTGAGAACGAGCTGCCGTTTCCATCCCATGCCCTCCAGACTCCTTGCAGTGCCTGTTATCCCACTCTTTGATCCAGCATCTCCCAAGGGTGTGCACCCCAACAGGGCAGCCATCTCCTCCTCCATCTCTCCCCCAGTTCCTGGGATGCTGGAGAGCCTTTTGGACAGCACAGCCTGGGCTGGTGTGAAACACCTTCTGCTTGCAGACACCTGCCCTGTGCTAGCGTTGCCTCAGGGGCTCCCAGGTAACAGAAGGAGGACTCAGGATCCCCCAGGGTCCCCAGCACTATCCCCAGGCACAAATGAAACAACCTGCCCAGTCCTCAGTACTGTTCTGGATGGTCCTCCTCAAGTCCTGAGGCACAAGGACACAGCACTGGGCAGCCTCATACCTTCATCTAGCCACTTCTTATGTGGGAAATGCCAAACCTGACCAAGAGCTCTGTTGTGCTGGTGCAGAAAGGATGGGAGGTGAAGCCCCCTCCACCTCTCCACACCCTAAGGGCTGAAAAGCCAGAGGTAAGGAACTGCAACAGATCCCAAAAGCCCCACACCTGGTGGCCACAGAGGTCACCCAAGCAAGGCAACAGCCCTGCCTTATCCCCCCGTCACAGTCCTCCCCAGCAAGCAGAGGCGATACCAGCCCCAAATGCATGTGCTGCAGCCGCCCTGCACTGCCCGCTTCCCACAGCCACAGCTCCATCTCAGGGAGGAACCAAGCCCCTCCACCCTGGGCTTGCAAAAGTACAGCCCATGCTTCTGGTCCCTTCCCTGCTGCAAAAGGAATGAAGGAGAGCTAAGAAAGGTGTAGAAAGAGCAATACGGGAGCCTCAACACAAATCCAGGTGAATGGGTGAGGACTGGGCAGCCTGGAAAGGAGATTCTGGGGGATCCCAGAGAGCGCTCTAAAAGCAAAGGACAGAGCACTCATGTGTGAGGTAGGTCTGGGAAGCATTAATGAAACGACTGGGCAGCAGCCTAAAAGCCAGCCACTGCAGTGGATAGTTTTCTGTGATATCCAGCTCAGCACTGGAACTCACCACCACAGGACGTCATGGTGAGACACACTTACAGTGAGCATGAACCACGGCTGTAAAACTCAATGCTGATTATGCCCCCAGCTTCTGAAATGTCCCAGCACTGCTTCCACAGGGAACTGACCCCTAAAACTTTGAGTCCTCACCCTATCCCCAAGTACTGCTCCAGTCCTGGGGAGGTGGGCGCTGCTGCTCTCAGGGAAGCCTGTGTGTGCTTGGCAGGGTCAGGGCCCCAGGAAGGGCAGTGCCAGGCAGGCCTTTGCCCCACATGGGGCGAGGGAGCACCTCTGCCCTCATCCCACGGCTGCCTGGGTGTGGGGAGATAAGCCAGGAAGGTGTTGGACAAACAGTTGCCAGGTGAGGGGAGGAGGAGGAAGGAAGGGAGTGACTTTTGTCCCCATCCAGCCCCACTTGGTGCCACTTGGCACAAGCAGTTCCCAAGGTCCCTGGACCCATGGGGGCAATGCAAAGAGGAGCAGTAAGGGGGTTGAGGGATGGAGGCAGGCAAGGAGTTCCCAATGCCTCCCTTATATCCCCCAGCCATCAATTCAGGAGTCCCTCTGCCACTCTCTTGCCAGCAGCCCACTTCCTTACTGCCAGCCCGTCTGCCCTCCAGGAGCACCCTGCCCACACACGAACATCGAGACCCTCCAAGCGCTGTCCCCGTGGCAGGGACACTGCCTACCACCAGCTCCTGTGACCCACCGGGGCTGCCTTGTCTCCTGCCTGTGCCGATCCCTGCACAGCCCCAGACCAAGGGTCTCACCTTCCCCTCCAAGCCGCAGGCAGCGGCCGGCTGCCGGTCAGCCTGCCCGGCTGGGCGCACAAACTCGAGCTCCGAACGCTCTGTTCCCGGGCTGTCGGGCCCGGCGGCCATGCCTGTGCCTTTGGTGGCCAGCAGGTGTCAGAGCACGGGCAGGGACTGGCGCGGAGCAGGTACCGATCGGAGGGGAGCAGGGAGGGATGAGCAGGGCGCAGGTACCAACGGGCGGGGAGCGGCAGGGAGCAGGCAGCGACAGGGAAGGAACAAGATCAGTGGACAGGGAGCAGGCGGGGACAGGCAGGGACGGTCGGGGAGAGAGCAGGTACTAACGGGTGGGAAGCAGGCACGGGTGCACAGGGCAGCAATGGACAAGGAGCAGGCAGGGATGTGAAGGGAACGGGTAGATATGAGGAGGGAGCAGGCAGGGATGAGCAGTAGTAAACGGAGCAGAAAGTGATAGGTAAGGACAAGCAGGCAGGATGAGTAGGAAGCAGGTACAGGAGGCAGGGAGAAGACAACAGGGAAGGGTAGCCAGAGATGAGCAAGGAGCAGGCAAAAATGGGCAGGGAGCAGGCATGGCCAGCAGAGAGCAGGCACAGATGGGCAGGGAACAAGTAGGGACGGGTACTACCTGCCCAAGGGCTCTTCTGCCTGCACAGACAGGTAGGCAGGGACCCATAAAGCCATGGTCATGGGCTGTCTGCAGGCTCTGTGCTTGCTGGGGGCTACAGGGTGAGCCCAACTCCTCCCCAGACAGAGCCCAGAGGGCCTGGAACATCCTCGGGGACCAGGCTGACCATGTTTGCCTGAGTGGCACGGTCCCACTCCTGCCTGAAAGTGAACACAAGATCTCGAAATGTGACAGCAAAGATGTGGAAATGCTGCCATAGCGCACGGGCCCTGGCTGGAGTGGGATGTCTGAGCTCAGCGGTGTGGCACTGACCCCTGGCCATGGCTCATCAGCCCCAGTGCTGCTCTGGTGCCCAGCCAGGAGGATGACACCCATGCAATAGGCATACAGCAGGGTTTAGGGTGAAAGCAGGTGGTGACAGTGTGTAAGAGGGGACACAGCTTGTCCCTGTAGTGGCACCCCCATGCTACGTGCAGGATGGGGCTCTGTGCCACTACACTGAGCTGTGTGGCTCCGTGCTTTCCCGTGCACATCATGGTGGAGACCCTGGGGATGTTAGGCTGGCATGATCAGAAATATTCCCGCAGTGACCAACATCGGCATCTACTTTCTTGTGTCCAGACTGGGAACAGAATCATGTCTTACGGGAGAAGTTAAACCCCTTTAGGCAATGCAGCAGGTCTGGAAAGAAGGGCACAGCTCCAAGACAGGACACCATCAGCAGGGACCCCAGGGCCATGTGAGCAGATTTACACAGGACACACAGGTGTAACAGCCTCAGCAGAGGGGTTGTGAATAGAGTGTGTCTGGCTACAGCTACCTTATGTCCAGAGCCTGGTCAAGAGAAGAGGGGTTCCACTAGCATCTCCCCCCAAGGTGAGATTTCTCCCAAAGTAAGCTTAGAGTCCTCTCCCAAGGTCTCCATGACAAATTCCTCACCACTGTAAGGATGGTCTCCACACCAGCTGGGCTAGTAGTGCCTGCAAAGGGTGATGGCTGGGGCAGGGAGAGGCTTGGGGGACTGGGACTCCATGGGGGCAGGGGACCCAGGACATTCCTGGGCCAAGCTGCCATGGAGAGGTGAGGCGGGCTCTGCCTCCAGCCTTATCTCAGCACCTCCGAGTGGGACCAGCGAGAGCAAACACACTGGAATTCTTGAGGAAGATGAAACGATAAAGGAAAGGCGGGCAGAGAGCAGCACTACCCACCCCCCAAAGCAGGCGGCATCTTCCGGCTGCCTGGGACACCCAGACCCTTGGACTTGGGGAAAGAAAACAGGTTTGAAGTGAGTCAACAGCAGTAAAAGCCAGTGTGCTGGGGGAAGGGACAAGAAGTTGGGTCAATGGCCTTTCCAAACCATAGCAACATAGGGCATGGTGCCAAAACTGGAAGTCCCATGTCTGGGAGCATCTCCCACAGCCAGGGGCAACAGACAAGCTCATACAGCTGAGGGATGGCAGCAAGCTGCCAGAAGTCATGCCACTTCCACAGCAATGGGGACAATTCCCTGCAGGTCTGCCTAAAGCACCATGGTACCCATCAATGCATGGATGTGTGGTGGCCAGGGACCCTGCTGAGTAAGAGCCTTCATTTGGGCACCCCAAGAAGACCAGGGAGCTTTCAAAGGCAGCGGGACAGCAGGAAGTGTAGCAAGTGGAGCATGGAGCCCTCCCTCTCCCAGGGATGCATCTCCCAGGGATGCAGACACTGGCTGTATTAGGGCAGGTGGTGGGAGCACTCTCAAGAGCAAACTCAGCCTGAAGCATTCTCCTGCCTTCAGCTCAAGCAATACTATGTCACCCACTTTCCCAATGCATGGAGCAGCAGAGCTCACTATTTCCTCAAGTGTCCCTGAATCTGTTCCCCAGGGGATGCAGACTCCAGCCCAGCACCAGAGCTCCAGGCACCAGCAGCTTCGACTTCTACAACTCCCCAAGCTTGGTGCTGCCTCACAGGGATCCTGGTACCTCTGCTTCAGTCCCTAACATAAGAACCACCCCGGAGTGTGGTTCCTGCCACAGGGACCTGCCCCCAGGGCACATGGGGTTGCAGAACTGTCAAACCAGCACTCAAACAGCTTCTCCTCTCACTGTTAACGGCACCTGGGTCAGAAACCATGGCCAGAGCCCCACTCAGTGGCCACCACCACAGCTCACCCAGCCGTCGGTCCTGCACCCAGAGTGCAGCGGTCAGTAGGGTGGCCCTGGCTCCCATCCGCCTCCCCCAGGAGCTCACTCAGGCTGTAACCCAGTGCTGAGGCTGGTGGCCAGGTTTCTTAGCAAGGCCGTGCAGCTCCTTATCTGCATTCCTGAAACCCTCAGGCATTCTCCTGGCAATATTAAAACACAGAGTAACCTTCGTCCAGCATCATCCCCCCTTCCACTGCTGTCCTCTGTCCCCCCCACCTCTCCTTCCCACTGGCCCAGAACACTTGTAAACTGACGGCAACAGGGCATTTGCTGTAACAGGTTGTCCCTGTCCCCAGGTGCAGCAAGCAGCCCGCACCGGGCACCTCTCACCATTCCACCCGAGACACACGGGTGGAGGGGGCACTGAGGCACGGCACAGGGTTTCGGCGGTCCAAGGTCAGCAAGGGCGCTCCGGGAGCCCAGCTTGCGGCTCTGCCTCCTGCCCTCCCTGCCAACACACCGGGCTCTGCCCTGTCCCTCGGCTGCAGCGGGCAGGCTGCCTGCTCTGCCGGCCGGCGCACAGAGCACGGGGGTGAGGGCAGTGTGGGTGCAGCGGGGCAGGGTGCTATCGGATCGGGAACAGAGTGGCATGGCAGGGGATGCACCAGGGCAGGCTGCTGCCAGCTTGGAGGTCAGGGCGCTACCAGCTCAGGGGACCAGGGGACATGGGTCGTAGCACAGCCGGGCAAGGTGCTCCCAACTCCGAAGGCACAAGGGCACACTTCAGGGTGCAGCAGACATAAGTGCCACAGGATCCGAGGGTCAGCGGGGCAGGGTGCTGCCGTCTCGGGGGACAGGGTGCTGCCGGCTCCGGGAGCAGCGTGCTGCCAGCTCCGGGTCCGACGCGCTCAGCCCAGCCGAAGAGGCAGAGGTTTGCAGCGCCCGGCGATGGGAGATGCCCGCTCTCCACAGCCGACAGCCAGGGCCGGACACCGGGATGCCCGGGTCAGGACGGGGAAGCCGCAGCGCCGGGTCTCCCGCAGCTGGCCGCGCTGCGCCAGGGGAGCGGAACGCAGAGCGCTCCCTAGTAGCACCGGTGCCCGCCGATGCCCGACGCGGGGGCCGAAGCGGGCGGCGGCGGGACCGTACCTGGGTCATGAGCCGGTCGGCGCCGGTGTTCTCCTCGTCCTTGAAGATGATGTCGGGGTTGTAGTTGGGCGTCAGCTCCTTGAAGCGCTCCGAGTTGCGCGCGATCTTGCCCTCGTAGCGGCCGCTGGCCCCCAGCGTCTTCTCGGGGACGTTGGGGCTGAACTGCTTGTATGCGAGCGGGATGAGCTTGCGGGGCGGGCGGCGGCGGCTGCCCACCACCCTGCCCGGCCCGCAGCCGCGCACGGCCGGCGCCAGCAGCAGCGCGTACCCGCTCAGCAGCAGCAGCAGCCGCGCCGGCTTCATGGCGAGCCCGGCGGCCCCGGGGCGGCCCGGGGGACCGGCGGCTCCGGGGGCCCCGCTAGGCTCTGCCGCCGCTCCCTCCGCCCGCCCCGGGGCTCCCCATGCGGCGCGCAGCCGGCGGCGGGCAGGTGCCGGTGCCGGTAGAGGCAGCGGCGGGGTGCGGCGGCTGCCCGGCGCGGGTGCGCTCTGGCTGCCCGGTGCGGCGGGCTGGCGTCGGCCCGCTCTGAGCTGCTGTGGCCCGGCGGCGGCAATAAATAGCGAAGGGCCGTTTGTTTTGGCAGGCGAGCGGGCGCTTGCGGGGCTCAGCGCTGCTGGAGCCCCCCGCGGTTTGCGCCCCGGCGGTCAGCGTGGCGGGGCTAGAGCCGGAGCCGGAGCCGCCGCTGCCTGCGCTCCCCGAGCAGGAGTGAGAGGGGAAATTGAAGAGATCCGGGACCGGGAACCGCCAGGACCGCACCCTGCCCGTGTCCCAGCCTCCCAGCGCCCTCCCTCTCTCGCCTCCTCCCCGCGGAACCTGCCCCGGGCCGCCCGCAGCCTCCTCCCCCCCCGGCCGAGCCCCGAGGCCCGCAGCCCACCCCGCCGGGGGTGCCCGCCGCCACCTGCCCCCAGGGACAGCTCCGCCGCCGCCCCGAGGCGCGCCGGTCCTGCCACACACCGTACACCCCCTTCCCCCGGGGAGTCCCGCAGGGGTTCCCCCGTGGCGGCGTGGGTTCGGGGTGGCACCCCGGGGCTCCGGCCCCTGCCGCGCCGCCTGCTCGCCAGGGGCCCGGGCCTGCGGGCGGGGATCAAACAGAGCAGGGAGGCAGCTGGTTGAAATTTAACCACAATATTCTCGGTCCCCATTGTTTCCAGGGAGGCCCGATATTTCCACAACAGGATTATGGCATCTGATTAACTCGCTGAGACAACAATGAGGGGCTGGGATGGGCTTCCCCTTCTAGCTGCCAAAAGGGGAAAGTAAATACAACACCCTGATTTCAGGAGCGAGGGCTTGCAGGGCCCCCCCGGTTCTCCCCCAGCTGTGTGCCGGGGAGGGGTCCAGCATGGCTCTGCTTGCACCCTGTCGCTCCCTAGCACCTCCTCAGGTGAGACAGTGCCTTGGGGTTGCCCTGTGCACACAACTATCTCAGGGATGCCCCCATGCACACAACTCTCTCAGGGATGCACCCTTGGTATCGCCTCAGTGGGCACAGGGCACAGGTCATTCCCAGGGATACAGAGAGGCCAGGCTGGAATAGTCCAGTCAGGCGTTCACCTCTGGCTGCAGGACTGTGCTGGCCTCAGCAGGATCAGGCAGCCTGGGCAAGAGGGATGCAGGCAGGAGTGCTATCAGCACCCACAGCTTAGGATGCTGCTATCCAGTGGCTCCAGTGGACCATTTCCTTTGCAGGAGCTGCAAGCAAAGTACAGTTGGCCAGAGCTGTCTCTATCAGGTTTTCATACTCAGCAGCCACACTCCATCGGGTTTCTGTACTTGGTTTGGGCACCCAGTGCCCAGAGCCACTGTGAAGGCTGGTGAGGAGCAGGAGGGTCTGGCCAGCAGCCCCAGGCCACCTCACTTCCACATCTCCTCAGTTGATCAGTGGAGCATCCTGAGGGCATCAGCAGATGGAGCAAAGGGGATGTGTCACAGCAGTGCTCCCCATCCCTATCCCTGGCTTCCCAGGGCTACAGAAGTAACACAGCTTTCTGTGCATCACAGGCACAGGAAAATCAGAGACTGGGCTAGGTCTGTAGGGTCCTCACGTGCTCCATGCTCTATACTCCCACCAAAGCAGAGAGCCCAGCTTCCCACTATGCTCATCACTGCCAGAAGGGAGTGGGGAACAGGTTTATCTGGGATGGTGCTGGGTCTGGGGAGTGCAGCACATCCCTAGGGAGAAGTGCCCATGGCTGCCAATGACCCAAACCCAGAACTCCAAATAGCCTCTGCAGTCTGCCAGCATGCAGTATGCATGTCACACACGTCTGTCCCTTTCCCATCAGCTCCAGCCTGACAGCAAGCAGCATAGCCCTACCTTCACTGGTACAACATGCATGTCCCATGGAAGCCCAGGGGTGCAGACAGGGAGCTAGGTTGGTTTGTGACAGCAGCTCCTATCCAGGCAGGGGCCCCGGCATCCTGCATCGGCTCTGGCCACAGCAAGCAGTGACAGTGTTCTGTCACTGGGTGCAGAGTCCATCTAGCATTCCCAACGCCAGCCTGTGTCCCTGCCAGGCAAAACCCACTGGCGCACAGGGCCAAGTGGGACAGGAGCCCCAGGCATGACAGGGCAGCCAGAGCTGGGGTTGTGGGGTGGCAGCCGAAGGCTGTGACAGTGTCCACCTAACAAGGGGTGAGAGGGGATTTCTGCTTGGGGAGCTGATGGGAAGGAACACTTGCTGCTGCAGCACTGTCACAGGGAGGAATTACCTTCCAGTGGAGGTGTGAGGCATGCAGCATCCATTCCCGTATCGTACAGTATCTCCCTCTACACTCAGCCATTCTCAGGCAGCGCCAGGACACCCAGTCACCACGCAGTGCTCCTGCCTGCATCCCCACCGTGACCAAGTCCCTCCTTCCTCCGCACCTCAGCCTTCCCCGGCACTGCAGCCCTGAGCGCACCGCCCAAGTGGGAGCGCAGCGTCCGGCCGACACCTCGCTGTGCCGCCAGGGCTGCCCGGGGCAGGGGCCCGGCGCTGGCACAAGGTCCCACAGGGCTGCCCGGGGCCGGCGAGCGGGCGGCGGAGCCGGGCGAGGCAGTCTAGGTGGTGCTATTTCTCCACTTTTGCAGTGGATGGGCTTGGGATTTTCCTCTCCCATTCGCTGCCTTCCTCATCTTCTCCTCCCTCTCTCCTTTTTTTTTTTTTTTTTCTTTTCCTTTTCTAAAAATACTTGACAGCGATTGAAAGGTCCCTTTAATCGAGGCCACAGAGCCCTTATTAAGGGCACGGGTCGGGGTGCTGGGCCGTGCCCGGCATAACGGCTTCATTAAACCCTGCAAAAACCAATATTTATGGAATCAAATTTATGGAGGCCGAGGCCGAACTTGTGGCCTTTAATGTGTGTCGGGAGCTCAAATCCAGCCGGCTCCAAGGAGGAGGGGGTGGGAATAGGAAAGGAGACCCCAGTGGGACAGGATGGGACAATGAGCGGTGACACTCCCTGGAGCCAGTGGCAACCCCGGCCGGGGAGGCACTGGCAGTCCCAGGCTGGAGTTTTGGGGGCCAGGGTCCCTGCGGTGGCCTAGGGGGCATTGGCAGACCTCTTTTTCCCACTGATGTCTTCACTCTCCTGGTTTTATTTGTTCCCCCCATCCATGCTCCTGCAGGCCCACTTTCCCTTGCCTTGGGAGCAGGGTGAGTGGAGCAGGATCTGCCCCTGCAGCAAGTCTTTACCCCTAGCCCTTGCTTATGGGTGCTCGCCCATCCCTTGGGGGCAGGGCCACGGGGCTCCATAGGGGACACACTCTGCAGCAGAACAGGACTCATGAGCCACACCCTTGCAGCATCCCTGGGACTGGCTCGCCTGAATTGGGCACCCCTGAGAGAAGCAGAGACACAGCCCGAGTGCAGTTGGTACTCAGGATGACTGAGGGGCACAGGTGCTGGTTTGCATTAACCACTCCCCTACAGAGTCCACCAGCCACTGGCACAGTTGGGATGGGAATGTGCCTCCCCCCCTATGATGTCCCTGCCAGAGGACACAGACAACCCAGGTGCCCTTGCTGGGACAATAAATCCTCCTCTTGCATGTACCTGCATGCATAGGGGAGCAGCATGAGTCCAAGACCCATCAGGGAGCTGAAGGACCTCGCTTGGAACAGAGCAGCTCCCATACCAGGAGATGGAGCTCACATGGATGGAACAGGGGTTGCACCAGGGGAAAACCTGGTGACAGAAGACATATGAAATGGAGAGCTGCAGAACCACTGCTACCCCGGTCCTACCCCCTGAGCTGGTAACAGCACCCTCCCTGGGGGCAAGTGCCTGGCAGGCAGACCCAAATCTGAGAGGAAAAGATGCTGGCAGGTGGGAGAAAGCAGGATTCATAGCTACAGCTGTCAGCACAAGCTACCATCTCACGGCGTCCCCATCTCACCACCCACCTTGCCCTGCATGCTGCTCCTTCAGAGAGGAAATACAAAAAGCAACTGGCTGCTCTCGCCCTGGGACTGGCTGGCCATGGCCCTGCAAAGACCCCTTCATTCCTCTTCTACAGACACAGGGGCTGCTCCGGATGTTTTTGTTTCCCCCGTGCTGCCCAGAAGAGCAGGCAGTGGGACTCTGCTGGCCCAGCCCCAGGGAGCAGGGCAGCCAGAGGCACAGGTCCTGCCCCAGGACAGTGGCACCGCAGGCTGCAGCCTGCCCATGGCAGTGCTGCCTGGCACAGGAATGTGGCCCCAGCCCCAAAGGAAGCACAGTGGCTGGAAGAAGAGAGCAGGGGTTAATGGATGGATGGACGGATGGATGGACTGAGTGTGGAGGGGCAGAGGTGGTACTTTGTGTCCAGGGAGCATCTGTAATGTGTTCCACGGCTGCTCTCAGGCCTAGGAGCTTTCAGGGTGTTAGTGGCTCGGTTGCCCCCAGCCCCTTGAAGGCCAGAACCCCTTATATCACCTGCCCACTAACCCCGAGGGAGCTACTGAAAATGAAGGGTGCTCCTCAGCCCAGCCAGTCTGCCTTTGCCAACCTGCTGCTGCAGGAGCTTCACCTGGTTCCAGGCACCAGCACATGGTGTGTCCTTGGCGTGGGACAAGGATGCTGTGTCCCAGGATCTGGGAGTCCCTTCATGCACACCCCGCATACTGGTGCTTAGGGTGAGGCACAGCAGGGGCTGGGAGCTGCTGTCCTGCCCCACAGCAATGAGCCATTGTCATCTCCTCACTGTCCTGCTGCAAGCCCTTGGACAGCAGGAATGGCTTGAGGGGGACCCAGCAGCACCAGGGGCTACACCCCTGCCTGGACACTTCAGGCCCAGGAGGGACAGAGCAGGAGAGGGAATCACCCAGACACAGTCCTTTATTGCAAACCAACACAGCAGACAACCCCCACAGCCCTGCCAGGGCATGGCTGTCCCACACCCACCCAGCAGCATGCCTCCCACCGCCCCCTGCTCCAGTACTGGCTCCACCACGAGGCAGCCTGAGCAAGCTCTGCACCAGGAGAGAGCTAGAAAAGAGGTTCCTGAGACATGGTTGAAGAAAGGCGATGCCCCATCTCCCTGGCTGGAGACACCTCAGGAGGGAACCGTGAGCCGGGCAGGGTCTGCCAGGTGGTGCAGGAGATGAAGAGCACCCATGGGTGTTCTGCACTGCCTCTCTTGGATGCCGGGGGGAGCAGAGACCCTCAGGCTGGGTGGCAGTGATGCTTCAGCTGAAGAGCCCTTTTGCCTTCTTTGGCTTGGTCTTGGCTGCAGGCAGCCGGGGCTTCTGAGCTGGGGAGGAGGTTGGCTGGAAGCAAAAGGGGAGGCACTGTCAGTATCTCCCCCTGGGTGTCACGCAGGATGGGGGTGTGTGTGCAAGCAGTGACACTCCTCTTATCAATGTGGGGAAGTGCAAATCACACACATGTGCAATCACAAGGTCCCCAGCCAGGGTACATGGGGTATGATGTGCTAGGAACCAAGCAGAGATGCCCTGGCTCATCCTGGAAAAGCATGGGGCTGGGATGTGAAGGGGGAAGGGAGATGCAGGCCTCATCCTACCATTGGAATGAAGAGGTTGTTTCTAGAGCTGTACTCACTGTGATTCCCTCACTGGAAGATGCTGTTTCATCTTCCTGGGATGAAGGTGGTGGATGGGGATGACCTGTGGTTTCTGCAGGAGGTGCCGGGTCCTCAGCATCCTCTGGTACCAGCAGAAAGAGATGCAATTTGGGATTGAGATAAGGGAGCATGGGGCCAAAACCCCCACCAGGAATAGTGCCTGTGTGTGGAGCTCAGCCCATGTGGGAAAGCAAAGGGGAAGACTGCTGCATGGGGTGAGCTACACCCAGGAACCCACTCCCCTTCCCAGGGGATGGGGGCACAGCCATGGTGAGGGCCAGTGCTTCACACACTCCCCATCCCACAGCCAAGGAGCTCCTCACCTGAGTGCTGCCGTTTCTGAGCCTGCCTGGCCTCCTGCTGTGTCACTGCCATGTAGAGCTGCTGCAAAGTGGAGGTAAATGCCTGCCCTTCTCCAGCACCGCAGATCTGGGGCAGGCTCTGTGGGGGGAGAGCAGAGGCACCATCAGCCTGCCAGGAAATCACCTGCCAGGAGCAACTTCCTGCAGGACACCCTCCCATGATGGGGCAGAGAAGGGGCTATGCACCCCTCTGCACACTGGGCTCCATCTGCTTAACCCCAAGGACCACAGCACAGCTCGCAGGGCCAGCTCTGGCACTGGGCAGGCTGTGGCTGCTCCCCAGCCACGCACACACGAACACATGCATGTGCACACACGCACACACCTGCTCCGGCCATTGAGCTGCCTTCCCATCCCGAGGCTGACAGCTGAGGCTTGCGAGTCATTCATCAAACACCGGAGATAAGATTACAAGGGAAGGGCTGCGGCTTCCCTGGCTGGAGCAGCACAGGGGCTGCAGCTCGCCAGTAAGGCCAATGAGTCTTGGGCAGGGGCAGGACCTCGGTATGAGGTGTGGACAGGGAGCCCCTGCCTGTCACGGCTGCCTCCAGAGATGTCTATGCAGGCAGCACAAGCATCCCTGGTGGCTCCATGGCGAGTGAGGGCGATGTGACAGTGAGATGAAGGATGTTCAGGTCTCAGCCTGAGCTGAGGGTAGCTCCTGCCTCCCTGCACACTTTCTTGCTCTATCCAGGCTTGATGCAGGGAAGCCCCCTTCCTTCTGCCAGGGCTGCAAGATGCCAGCCTCACAGTCCGGGCCATGCTGATGTGCCTGGGGGACCTTGGCTTGCATGATGGGGAGGCTGGGAGGTCGGGCAAGCGCCACCCTGCACTGGGAACATAATGCAGCACATAGCTTGAAACACGTGCAGGGCCAGGGAAATGTGTGTGTGCCCTGGAGGGGTGGCTGCACCGGGGCGGGAGAAGCAGGGCATGTGCGCACACATGTGGGTGAGTGTGAGCGTGTCTGCATGCAGGGGGCTGCGCACACATGCGGGTGAGTGTGAGTGTGTCTGCATGCAGGGGGACTGCAAGCACAGCTGTGTGTAGAGCAGCACGGCTCTGGGTGCATGCGTAGCTGGTTGTGTGGTAGTATGTGTGTGTGTGTGTGTGTGTGTGTGTGTGTGTGTGTGTCTGTGCGTCAAAGGTCTGCACACTGATCTCTGCTCTAATCCACACCCAGACAGCAGGGGAACAAAGTGTAACAGATAAGGCTGGATCCTCTCTGGGCCAGGGGAGTGGGGAGGAACATCCATGCTGAGACCCGCTCAAGGCCAGAGTCCAAGCCTGGCCCCAGCTTTCCTGTGTCAGAAAGGGCAGGCTGGGCCCCCTCGCAGCTACTTGCTGGACGGGAGGGAGGACTGGGCTAATGGCAGGGTGGGGTGGATGGTGCCCAGAAAGATGCTTTCTGCTGGGTCCCACCCCTCCTGCTGGACTTGTCGCCACGATAGGCCCCTCAGCTGTAGGACATGCATCAGTGTCTGCTTTTTGGCCAGCTTATGTGCAGGACCTCCTGTGTCCCTGTCCTCTGCCACAGGAGGGAGTGATGCTCTGGGCCCAGGCCGCTGCCAGCATCCCCAGGAATGCAGGCCTCTGGGCAAACACACCTTGCAATGCCTCCTTGCCTGGCCCTCCACAAGATGCCAGGGAGAAGGAGGGATGCTGAGGACCTGGGACACCCTGGGGACGCTCTGGCCTTGGGTGTCTCACTCCATAGGTTGCACTTGAAAGTTGCAAAAGCAGCGTCTGAGGCTGGGAAGGCGACTGCACTTCAAAGGCAGGCGAGGGGCTGGCAACGGGTGACCAACACAGCCCAGATCAAAGGCAGAAGCTGGAGCCGTAACTCACAGAAAAGCAAACAGCAGCTCCCAGGAAAGCCAGGAATGGTGGTGGAGTGAGCAAAGTGTACTAGATGATAGCACTGCATGGGTCAATGCCCCAGGAGGGCAGGAAAGTCCCCTGTGGAACCACCGAGCCCTGGGTGCCACTACCCTTCTGCCCACCCCCTCTCCCTGCCACCAAGGGGGCCCTGGGGAGTGCCAGGGAGATAGGGTAGGCTGTGTACCCAGGCATAGGGTGCTGCACACCCCAGCCAGGATGTGGGCTGCAGTGCAGGATGGCACCTGGGACATGCCCTGGGCCCCATGGCTGTTCAGGTTGCTCCTCTTCCCAGCATCCAAGCAAGGATCCAGGCAGGGCAGCTGCTGTCTCAGTGCTCAGCAGCAGCTACCCAGAGCCAGCACGATGTCCCCATGGCGCTCCTGAGGACGTGGCAATGTTGTGGAGTGCCTGCTGTGCTTGCAACAACCCAGTGTCCCTGAGGCTGGCATATGCACAGACGCTGGGGTGGCACCCTGGGGAGATAATGGGAGAGGAATGGGCATCCTTGGTGGCACAGGGCTTTGCAGGTGCAGGACGCCAGGTGCCCATGCCTCTGGGAAGAGTCCAGCTCTGACAAGCCCAGGGTGGAATTCAGGAGTCACTGGCCACCTCCTGGCGCTGCCCTTCCCGGCAGGCTCAGGGCTGCCGGAGCTGATCCACGCCGGGGTGGGAGGGCCGCACTTCACAGCCCCAGTGGGAAACGGGGTTATAACCAGAGCTGGAAGCATTTCCCTGCAGAGCCGTGACTCAGAAGGGAGCAGAGCGTGCTGTGCCAGCCACCGGCCACCTGATGGCCCCGGAGGCTGGGAGGCACAAGGAAGTGTCCCCATAAGGGGCTGAGTGGGGGACAAGCCCCACGTACCTGTCTCTTTGCCCTCCTGCCTTGTCCTACTACCCCAGCACATCCCTGTGCTGAACCCTGTTGCAGCTAACTTCTTGTCCCACCGCAATGTCACCGCAAAGTGGCCTCCGGTCACTTGTTTTTCTCTGATTACCCATCTCCAGGATAAACATGATGCCCGAGGTCTGCGGAGCAGCCCAAGCAGAAAGCTGACACAGGGGAGCGATGCCAGGGGAGGTGGCACAGCTTGCCCGTGTGTTATGACTATCTGGCCACAAGGCCAAGCAGGATGCCACTGTATCAGGAGTGACTCAAGGCTGCGACAGTGGTGTGGGAGGTTCTGTAGCACACCCTGAACTGCGATTAGCTCAGCCGGGGGTGCTGCCTGGTGAAGGGGGGCAAGTGTCTGTCTGATCTCACACCAGGAGCAAGCCACGCTCACCATCAGCCCTATAGCAGTGGGAGCAGTCACAGGGAGCTGGGCTGCAGCCTCACTCACTGCCCCCCTCCTCACTCTCTGCCCCCCATCCTGGAGAGCACTGCTATGTGCTGTATCCCAGGGAGGAGGGGGCTGGCAGGGCTAGTGGTGGGCAGCATACAGCATCCATCACCCAGGCATCCTGCCTTCCCCTGTCCCTGCCCAGATTCCCTTCTCAAAAGGTCACAAGTGACGGCAATTTGGATGTCCTCTTGACAGTGAGCGCAGGAGGGGCACATCACCCAGCCCGGCAGCTTGCCACTGCTGCAGAAGCATCACCTTGCCCTGGGCGGGGTTTACAGGCAGCCCCTGTGCCGGTGCCAAGCACCAGAGTCTAAATTGGTCGCACTCAAAGCTGGGGACTGACCCTTTCATTATCACACCAGATGCTCGAAGCAGTTACCAACTTTCTTCTCTACAAACCCTACATTCCTATTTCTTAATATATTTTTAACTGGAAAACAGCAAACGGGGCCTGTTTGGAAATTACAGCCTGGCTGCTGTGGCTTGTATGCCAGATCTGCCCACATTCCCGTGGCCAGCCTCAGCACGTGCTCCACTGGGGCACACTTAATAATTCCTGCTGGGGCTGGAAGCCAAGGGGTGTGGGCTGGGGTGGGGGGGGGGGGGCATGGCCTCCCTGGGCTTCCCCTGCCAGTGGGCTCCGCAGAAGCGGCGTGCTGGAGTTGTGGCCCAGGAATGGCACATCAGCTCTCCAGCGATGGGCACGGCCACTGCCGCGCTGGCATGGGCAAAGCCTGGCAATGCTGCAGATGGGGAAGGGCTTCATGGCTGGGGCGTTCCTGTGCCTTGTGGCCAGGCTGTCCTCAGTGCTCTTCCCTGCTTTGTGCATGCTCATGGGAATGGGGCTGGTGTGGTTTGCTGGATGGTCGCTGGGCATCTCTGCCTATGGCCTTGCCAGTGTCCGTCAGGCTGGGGAGGGATCAAATCCAGGATCTGCATACATGAGCACTGATCTGTGCTAGCCACTCACCCAGCCATGTTTGTCAACATCTCCAGTCCAAGGGATCCCCCAGGATTCACCTGCAGAGGGATAGAGATGGAGGGGGTTGAACTGCTCCTTTCCAGCTTGGACTGAGGTCAGGAAAAGGGGCAGCTAATCCCCCTGGGATGGAGCTGGATGCATCAGCCTGGCTTCCCACCCCAGCTCCCTGGTGGGGCAGTGACCATCTCTTTTAGGGGCAGAACTGCCCCAGAGCACCCTGAGCTGCCCCACACTGACCACTGATACCCTTTCCCAGCTCCCCTGGCCCTTGGATCTGCTTGTACAGTGCTGCAGCAGTCCCTGAGGCACTGCTTATCCCAGCAGTGGATGTTTGAGGGACCTGCCTTGATCTCGCAGTGTCCCCATCACCCTCTACCACACACAGCCCTGGGGACACGTTGCAGCAGCAAGGAGAGCTGTCAGTGCTGCCAGCCCGCCCGGGGAGAAGGCAAGGGCAGCATGGCCCGGGCTTCCCAGGCAGGGAGCCAGGCTGAGCACACCTGGCAGGAAGCAGCAGTGCCGGCAAGGGAAGGCAGCCCAAGGGCTGCCGAGAGGTGAAGGGGTCACTTAGGGAAGAGCTGGCGGTGAGGCCAGGATGGAGCATCCCAGCCCAGCCCAGCCCAGCACGGCACTGCACTGCACCGCATGGCACGGCACTCCTCCCAGTGCCCCTCTGGCCCTGCTGCAGGCAATGTTTTCCTTTCCCCCTGATTTTCGGGGCCTTTCCAGCAAGCAAATGTCAGGCGCATAAAGAGCAGCACTGTGAGCGGAAGATGGAGCGAGAATGCCTGCCCGTGTCCCTCCGTAAGTGCTGTCTCGCACTTCATCAAGGCAGCCTTTGCAAGCGAGGCACCCGCTTAACAACCAGCAGTC